CGAGACAGCTCTGGCATTGGGAACTATCCTGAGAAAACAGCGAGGTGGAGAAAGGGAGATCCTGCCAGGTTTGGAGATCAGTAGTGGAAGAGAAACCGTTTTCAGATGATACGCTACCAAGTTTAGTCCGTTCGGTTTATCTGTCACCATGACAATAAATGCCTAAGCTAAATTTAGTGGTAATTGTACCAACAAAAATAGTTCAGTGTTATGTCTACTGTGACATGAAGACTGGGGAAATGCACCCAGGTAGAGCAAATGACAAATGTCCCAGCCCTCAGAACAAAATGAGCTTCGTGGGGTGGGAGGTAGTAGGTAGGAGCCCAAGTGTTCCAGGAACAGAAAAGATGCTTCTGAGGCTGGAGCTTGGACAGAAATGGCAGTGGGTGGGGGGTAGTAGTGGGGGTACTTTCAGTCCGAGGTGCCAGCAGGGCCATGGCTTGCAGGACCTCAGAGGGCAAGATAAGAGATTTTATTCCATGTGCAATTAGAGGCCACTAGAGAGTGGAAAGAGGGGAATGACCTGACCTGTTTCTAAATGTCTCAAAATATTTCTTCTTTTTTAAGAAAATAATAAAAATATAAATTATATTTAGATGCTGAAAATATTTTTTAAAGATTCATTTATTTATGAGAGAGAGAGAGCGTGCGCACACGAGCTGGGGGGGAGGGGTAGAGGGAGAGGGACAAGCAGACTCCCTGCTGAGCACGGAGCCCCATGAGGGGCCTGACCCCAGGACCCCCAGGATCATGACCTGAGCTGAAGTCAGATGCTTAACCGACTGAGCCACCCAGGTACCCCTGAAAATATTTTATATTTGTTTTAAAATGAATGTGGGGGGATGCCTGGGTGGCTCAGTCAGTTAAGCATCTGACTCTTGATTTCAGCTCAGGTCATGATCTCAGGGTCATGAGATCAAGCCCCGAGTCGGGATCTGCACTGGGAGTGGAGCCTGCTTAAGATTCTCTCTCTGCCCCTCCCAATCTCCCCCTCTCTCTCCCTTTCTAATAAATAAATAAATAGATAAATAAATAAATAAATAAATAAATAAATAAATAAATAAATAAATAAATAGAATTTTTTAGAATTAAAATGAATATAGGTATTCAAACTTTCTCTGAAAAAGTTTAAAATTTGCAAAATTCAGTACATCTGTTTGTGCATATTTTAAACATATTCCAATCTTAGCTGAGTGTTTGAATTTTTTCAGTCCTAAATTTCAACATCTTATGAACGTCTTCATGCTTTAAAATCTTTACTTATATTCCACAGGATTAAATATACATAATTTATTCCTTTCACAAAAGGATTATGAAAAATGGAAGCAATTTCTTTAAGCAGTCATTGTGTTAGCTAAAATATTCCTTAAGTACACAATCCAGGCAACATACTGAACACCTTATAAAGGAATGCTGTCTATCATTTCACCCAAAAGAGCCCATGTAAAGACAAAAGACAAAAAAAAAAAAAAATAGTTACTATTTCACTTGAATTTCCAAAAACAAAATCAGTCCAAATTGATATGCATTTAGTTCTAAAAAACCTTATAAAACCACTCATCAAAGTGGAAGAATATGCCATTGGCAAGACATACACTAGCCAAATATTTCACACTTTTTATATAGAGAGGGAGTCACAGAAATTCACCTGGCTTTATACTTCCTATTGAGTGAGAGTTATTTGTCATAAAATGGAATGGGGTGGCAGGATGCCTTAGACAATAAGACTATTAACCATTTTTGCAGACGACTCCTTTATATATTCTGTTTCGTATGTTGAAAATAGTTATGTATTTATTTTTGGATTATATAGCTAACACAAAGGAGGTATTTCAAGAATAAACTTACAAATTTGGATCATCTCATCAAATGAAGAACGACAAAAATCTCTTATTGAGTGCATGAAACATTTAAAGAAATATTTAGTTTTTATGGCTTTAAGAAATGTAGTTAGAAAATTAATCTTGTCTAAATTAATTTTGACAGTATTTTGGCAGATGTATATTTAAAAGAGATTATTCATACAATACTATATTTTAAAAGTGTAATTTAGGGGTTTTTATCTATTGAAACTTGAAAGAAAATATTCAAATTATAATGAAAGTTAGAAATTATTTTTTATAATATTGTTGTTAAATTTGACATGCATTTTACCAGACTAGAAATACAGCACTCTTAATTAATTGGAAACTTAAATCTTTTTACTATAATGAAACATTCATTTCTATTGAGTCTATTGCTGGTTTTGAGGCCCCAGAGAATTCCATTGCCGGCTTTCCCTAGAGACCACAGTCCTGCTTTAGTGCAGGTGGTTCGGAGCAATTAACAATTGCTCTCTGGAAGGTTGCTTGATTTGGAGGGGGTGTCCAGACCTAATGGATAAGAGTGAAGTGATCAAGTAGTGATATTTGCCATGGATGTGTCAAAGAGAGGCTGTTACGCAAGTGCCCCAGAGCTGCCATCCTCATTTTCTTTCTTTTTTTTTTTTTTAAAGATTTTATTTATTTATTTGACAGAGAGAGAGACAGCGAGAGAGGGAACACAAGCAGGGGGAGTGGGAGAGGGAGAAGCAGGCTTCCCGCTGAGCAGGGAGCCCGATGTGGGGCTCGATCCCAGGACCCTGGGATCACCACCTGAGCTGAAGGCAGAGGCTTAACCACTGAGCCACCCAGGCGCCCCGCCATCCTCATTTTCATCTCTTAAGATTCGGCCAACCATAGAATGTCCTCACACATTTGTAACACTGGGACATGCTTTTGTTATGTGGCTTGTAGTTTGCAGCGATCACAGTAGATTGAAAGTGGTTTTGTTTTACTTTGTGTTCAAAGTCTATATGTGATGAGACATAAAGCAATTCAATATTCCAGTACTTCATTCCTCTTTAGGCCAGAGTTTTTCAATGTATAGATCTCAAAAAAAGGTGAGTGGGTCAAAACGAGCATTCTTTTTTTTTTTTTTTAAGAAATAGAATAGAATATAAGAGAATAGCAAGTATCAGAGAACGTCACATGTGGGAAGAGTAGGGATTGTTATGTGAATCTTTTTTTCCAGCGGTATGTGTATATGGGCCACATTGTGATGTACAGTGAATTACTCTAGGGATGCCTGGGTGGCTCAGTCAGTTAGGCGTCTGACTTTGGCTCAGGTCATGATCTCAGGCTCCTGGGATCAAGCCTGGCATCAGGCTCTCTGCTCAGCAGGGAGCCTGCTTCCCTCTCTTTTTGCCTGCCTCTCTGCCTACTTGTGATCTCTCTCTGTGTCAAATAAATAAATAAAATCTTTAAAAAAATTAAAATAAAATGAATTACTCTAGGTTATGATGAAATCATTTTGAAAATCACTGGTTTAGATCCTACTATTTTTACTTCTGTGAAGAATAAGCTACAGCATTGTTTTAAACTGACACTGACCTTCTCTGAGAAATATCTGTGTTTGGCCCAAAGACATCTCCTTTCAGTTTTCTGTCTAAAGACCCGGGCAAAGTTTCTAGTCCAATATATGGTTGTTGGTATATGTTATCCTGGCATATGGTTTAGTTGTTGATTTGTTTGACCCTTAGAAACTTCCTAGGAGGCTAAATTCTATAACAGTCTCATGAAATACTTCAGATTGCCTAGGAAATGATAAACTGTGTCAAATGTCATTATTGGTTTTTTGCATTTTATATTTTTATTTTTCCTTCTTTATAATCATGAGCATTAGTTATTTTACTATAGCAATTTAAATGCCCATATATTTTAGGAATCCATGATTCTAATATCTCCTGAAACTATCGTAGATAGTCATTTTCCAATGCATTTATAATTAAATCTGATTTGTAATAAATGATATCCTGATTTAATTATAAATTTGTATATATTCTTGTTTTTCATCTCTCTTTACCAGATGTTGTTCACCACACTCAATGCTATTTCCATTCCCCTAAACACACTCATTTATTTATATATCGGTAATCAAGCAAATGTTCATTCCTTGGGTGAAGCTGTAATGTCTGTCTTAAAGATATGTTTTGTGAATAACTCTCTCCCCATCACCACCTGTCCCTACCAGCTTGGTTGTTTTTGTCATTCCTGTAATGTGTTAAGTTTCAAAATACTTCCAAGTCCTGAAGTATGTCCATTACCAAATTTTGAATTATGACTGAAATGCCCAACATTTTCCATTTCATTATGTTAAGGCATTATAGACAACTCAAATTTGTTCAAGATTGAGATATGTCCTGTCTATTAATCACCTTTTAACACTTTTGTTTCAATTAATGGCTTTTACTCTAGTGGAGATCGTGGCTGTAATGGGATGAAATATAAGTCATCAGCCAGAATGGGGATCAGGAAATGTCTTGGAACCTGAAGAGTGCCTTCCAGGGCTGAGTGGATGTAGCTAGGGGGGCAGGACAGCAGAAACCAGAATGGAAGGAAAGAATCTAAACAAGAAGTTAGTTGTATTATCAACAGAATTTTTCTTAGTTCAGATTTTCCCTAGTACTTGATGCTGATGTACAGAGATACTTAAAGTGTGTCCTCTGGATCAGCAGAACTTTTTAGAAGTATATATTATCAGGCCCCATCCCAGAACTATTGAATCAGAGTCTTTGGGGCAGGGGGCCAGTAATCTATGTTTTAGCAACCTCTGCAGATGATTCTTATGCATGCTAAAGTTTGAGTACCACAGCTAGAGAAAATATTGACAAATGGACCTCATGGTAATAATGGTATTGAATAAAACTATATTTTAAATGTAATTTTACACTTTCCTTAGCATTTAGCTAGATGGATGTCTTAAAAGTATTTGTTGTTGAAAAAAATGCCATTTACCAAGACTAGTCAAGAAAAACATATAAGAGATTAAAAGTGAGATATATTTAACAGTGGATCAAGGGGAAAAATAAAACAAATGGCCTTATGTTGTGTAAAAGTTTTCTTTGCATTTGCTTTTATAGAACAATGACTCACTCTATGGTGACACTAGGAGCTGATTTTGTATTTGTTCTGTAATTCTAGGAGAGCATTTACATTGAAATACCTCTCTCTAATCCAAAAGTGAAAATGATTCATTTAGATGTGCAGTTATCCAGTGCTGCCCTTAATGGATTTAAGCAACTTACACTGCACCCGCTAGAATGTATCAACTATGTCCTACAGTATTCTCCAGCGACTACAGGCTGTAGAGATGAAAGGTATGGTTTGAGTGTGGCATTATATTTTATTGTTGATCCTTTGCAATAAAGCCTTCAAAATGATTTTAAGTGACTTGTTCGAGTCTACTTAAATAAAAGATGGCAGAGCTGAGATACCAGCCCAGTTATAATTTTATTTATTTATTTTTTCCAGTTACATTTTTAGATGGTCACAGGTTCTGTCTCTGTTTCCCCCAAAAGTGAGCACATGCTGATAATAAAGGAAGGTCTCCAGAGTTGCATGTCACTTGAATGCCTTCACGTGAAAATACACAGGTGTTTAATTCAATGAACTAAATTGGATTTAATCACAGAAAGCAGGACTTTTCTTGTTATTGCTCCTGTAAGACATTTGAATTCATTAACATTTAAATATTTTTATTCACTCAACAAACATTTATTAAACAGATATTAATGATGATGTTTTTTTCTGAATAATGATCTTCTCACCAAAAATGAAAAATTTAAAAATATATCTACAACAGAAGTAGAATGCTTCACAGAGCGGTTGTCAAAGATTGTGTTTGAAACCACCTATTTAGGATTTTTTTCTGCCAATTTTATTACACAAACTAAAACCACTGACAAGATTTTGTGTATTTTTCTCCACCAGCGTTATTTTTCAGCCCGATGTGGCTCTTGAGTTCTGGTATTTACTGAGATTAACTACTGAATTACCGAAATCAACCACAGTACCAGAAATGCAATGTGACCTTGGAAAGTAAGTTCTATTTAATAGGTAAAATTATTTCGTGGAAGGAGAAAAATTTATCTAAAAGAATATTGTTGTAATCCACTTACTCTTTTTTTATAAGACATACATATATTTTTAGTAATTGATTTTCCTTTCCAGGGAAGGTTTGATATTTCAACTACCCCCTGGAAAACTTAAGTGAAAGAAAAAGAAATTAGGACTTAGTAAGGAGAGGCTTTTATTCAAAATGATTATTGCAAGGGAGAGAAAGGGACTCTTGAAAGAGTTGGAGACCGCAGATCTCAGAAATCTGCAAGCATTTCAAAATCAAACGGGAAAAGCTAAAGGTAGGACAAGGAGAGATAAGCAGACTCTGGAGGGAAAGCTGGACAAGGAAAGGAAAATGACTGGTGGCGACTGATAGGAAAAGGATCGTCCTGTGGTAAGCGGATTCCCAGGAGAAGTCAAGGAAAGAGGCATGTTCCACTTTATTTGTGCTTGCTCAGGCTTGGGGACAAACAGAGCACAGGGGCCCGTAGGAAACATAGAAGGCTGACTAAAGTTTGGTCAAGGCAAAGCAGCGGGTCAGCGATGGACAGTGGAGAATACTTTGTCATTTGGCTAATACCATGTGCCCTTGAGATATGACCATTTATATTTACATGGTTGAGCTCTTCCTACATGTCTGGTACCAGGTTTGATGCTGATACATAGGGGTAACCCAATCACAATTTCTAGTTTTATTTTTTTAAGAGGTATTTATTTATTTGAGAGAGAGAGAGAGAGCACGATCAGGAGGACTGGCAGAGGGAGAGGGAGAGAAGCAGACTCCCAACTGAGTGAGGAGCCTGACACGGGGCTCAGTCTCAAGACCCTGAGATCATGACCTGAGCTGAAACCAAGAGTCGGACACTTAACCGAGTCACCCAGGTGCCCCCACAATTCCTACTTTTATTTTTATTTATTTTTAATAACTCTATAGAGATTGCATTTTATTGAGGAATGGAAATCCAATATGAAACAAATAGAATTCTAAATAGTTTATGGGCCTCAGATCAGTTATACAAAGCTCAAGGTGACATTTATTTACTTCATATTTTAGTGAGCAGTTTTGATTATGTCCGATACAATTGAAAACATGCTTCCATGAATTACTATAGAGTAATTCCTTATAAAGGTGAGGTAATCCCTCATAGCTTAATAATAAAGGTCCTTATTAAATCAAATATTTTTGAAATCATTTTGGTTTCTAATATGTGTAAAATACATTCATTATTATCATTTCAAGGTCACAATTTTTTTCATTCAGGATGAGGATATTTTGAGCCATATCATCTTAAAAGGAAATTCTAGACCCAAAAGTTACTACATTGTTCAGAGATATAAGCTACATGAATGTTTTTTAAGACTAATATGCCTATTAGGGGGGTTTGCCTCAGTTTCAAATGGGGTAACTGAGGTTTACAGATGCTAAGTGATTTGCCCTAGGTCACTAAATGTAGAAAAGAGACTAAGGAGAATGTTCTTGTATACAATTTTCCAGATTCAAACTAGTGGATTCACATAGAAAATCCAATGGAAATCCAAAGATTTGTCCTACAAACCCTTAAAAGATAATAATCTCTAAACAAATAAATAACATTTGTGAATATAAAAACATGCCAAAGTCTCTACATTCTCTAGCAGAAATATCCTTTGGCATCTTTCCTGCTTCATATTACAGTACCATAAATGATTGTATTAACAATACTTAACAAAGGGTGATTAGGAAATATGCGGGTCTGCAAGAGGATTTGGTGCAATCTTACTTCAAACAAAATACAGCATGTTAGGCCTGAAGGCAAACCTAAAATACCCTGGAACTACCGTATGTGAAAGAAACAACATGCATGTGTAATAACATAAAGGGCTTTTAATTAAATAGAACTTATAGTATTGGACTGATTTTAACAGCCCAGTAGATCCTCCAGTATTCTTGTTGTTGTTGCCATTGCAACTTGTCTTTCCTGCATTTCAATCACCATGGATAAATGAAACTTTAGGTCTCAAGACTTTTTTTGTCCAAATGATGATACACGTTCGTACTTTTAAAGAGCATGTGCACTAGTGGGCAAATCTGTACCTCTTTGTTAATTTCTCTCCCTTAGCACTCCAGAAGAGTGTTGAATTCTCCCAGGGCCAGATCTGTAGCCAAAGAAATCTGTAGCAAGTGATTTATTAAGGAAGTGGTCCCATTAAGAACAACCTGTAAGAGAATAGGGGAAGCAGGATAAGAAAAGGGAAGAAGCTAAGCAAGGGTGTGATTGCAGGTATGGTCCCAGACTATCTGATACTGCAGAGAGCTCTGTAGCATAAATTACATCTCAGAGTTTGTCCTGTCTTGATGCAGAGATGCTTGGCTTTTGAATTCCCATACTAGTCATTATAAGCTTCCTTGGGAAGAGGTATAAACTCCCAGGCACTTCTGTCTGTACAGTTGAGGAGATAGCAAGACCCAAGGGCAATCGTCTGAAGGTCTCGGAAGGAAAATGAATAGCAAGCGTGTAGAAGTTGGGGTCTGAGGGTAGAGAACTGGTAAAAATCTTCCAGGGGAACTGGGTAGGGTGCCAGCAGTGTCTGCTTTAACTTCCTAACAAACTTATTTCTACTTTTATATTTTTTCTTGTTTTAAAAATATATTAATGTATGAAAGCTATATAGGTATATAAAATTATTAACAAATGTATTACACTTATGTGAAAATATTTAGCACAACCAGTTTTACAATCTTTTTTTTTTTTCATTCCACTAACAGGTGCCCACCTTTTCTCTTTCTTTTTGAGTTCTTGTTACTTTTGGTCATGTTGTTCTAAAGAGTAATTTCTTTTTATCTAAGTCATACTGTATGTAATTAAAAGTTGCATAATATTAAAAAATGTTTGATAGTAACTACTTTTTTAGCCAGCCTTATTCTGGATCCCTATCCTCTTTGGAAGTTTGATGGCCATTAATTGTATCCAGTGTTTTTAAAATGTTTAATAAATTGGTGTTGTTCTATTTTCATACATTTTCTAGGTAGTTGGAGTCTCTTTCAATATGGAAACACATGACTTTCAGTTTCTGGAAGTCTCAAATTATGCCATCTATTTTCTCTCTTCCTACAACATCTATGTTTTAGTTTTAGAACTTGGGGGCTATTTTAATTTTATTATTTTTTGGCCTTTTTTTTAACCAACATCTGTGCTTTTGCATTCAGATAGATTTACCTGAATTTATCTTCCATTCTTTTTGTTGAATTTTTATGACAGTTATCAACATCCAACACCATTTTTGTTGTTGTTTGGATGTTTCTTTTACATATTTTTGGGTTTTTTAAAAAATCGTAATGTTCTGTTCTTATTTCATTTTGGTAATATTTTTTCTGATATGCTTAAGATATGAATGGTCATGGCCTTTGTCTTTAATTATAAATTTTGTTCTTCTTTTTTCCTACTCAAAACTTTCCCTGATACTTGTTTTGCTCATATTTAAGGATTTATTTATTTAATTGAGAGCGAGAGAGAGTGGAGGTGGGTGGGGCAGAGGGAAAGAGAGAATCTCGGGCAGAGGGAGAGAATCTCAGGCAGACTCCCTGCTGAGTACAGAGCCCAATGCGAAGCTCGAACTCACGACCCTGAGATCATGACCTGAGCCAAAATCAAGAGTTGGACGCTTAACCCACTGAGCCACCCAAGTACCCCTTTCTCATATTTAAATATGACACTCTGTAATGATAGTCAGGAGTTATTGACCCATTCATGTTGTTCTGTGTACCGTTCTTCATTTATTTTCATTGCTACAAAAAAAATTCCTTTTTATTGTTGATCAACTTTTGGGTTTTTTTTTCCCAGTTTGGTATATTATGAAATATGTTGTTTATAACATTGTATATGCTTTTGTTGCACATTTGTGCTCATTTCTATTGGGTACAAACATAGGAATGCAATATCACTGTACTCTAGTGGATAACAACAAAGAATGCACAATTGGTTGTACTTATTTACACTCCACCGGCCATAAATCGAAAGTCAGACACTTAACTGACTGAGCCACCCAGCCGCCCTGGCACTGTGTTTTTTTTTTTTTTTTTTTTTAGTGTCTTTTTATTTTGAAAGAGCTTAAGACTCATAAGAAGTTGAAAAAATAATTCAGAATTCACACATATGCTTCATCCTGGAAATGGTTTTTAAGGTGCTACCACTTGGTTCACATTAAAATTACCTTCTTGGTGCATCTGCATGGCTCAGTTGGGTAAGTGGCCAACTCTTGATTTTGGCTCAGGTCATGATCTCACGGTCCTGGGATCGAGCCCTGCATGGGGCTCTGTGCTAGCAGGGAGTCTGCTTCAGGATACCTCTCTCCCCCTCTGCCCTCCATACACTTGTTCACTCTCTCTCTCTCTCTAAAAATAAATAAATATTTTAAAAAAATCATCTTCTTGTTTTTCTTTGATTTGACCAGCAATGTTATTTTAATTTTCCCTTCTTATTCTATATTAATAGGTTTGACACAGTCTTGATGAAAAAATATTTTATCGTGACTGTTTAGAAATAAGTATAACAACATTTTAGACTCAAGAAATTTAATTTTGTCCCTAAGTAATAAATATGTGCATCAACAATCCTCAGTATATACATTTGTAATTACAAACTTCATTTCTCATTATTGGGAAAACTAGCAATTAAAGAAAATATTTATTAAATTCAATTCAATTGAAAACCTTTTTCTGGATGAACAATGAATCAAGTACCTCTTTAGTTAATATATTTTGCTCCTTGGTCCACTGGCAATCACAGGCTACATACACTTCTTACTTTTTGTATCTTTGCCCATTTCTAATGTCATCAAGTTATATTAATCTTTGCGATGAAATTGATTTTAATTCCCACAGAACTTACACTGTTTCTCACTTTTTTAGATTCCACATATAAGTAAGATCATGCAGTGTTTGTCTTTCTCCGTCCGAGTTATTTCACTTAACATAATGTCTTCTAGGGGCGCCTGGGTGGCTCTGTCGGTTGAGCATCTGCCTTCTGCTCAGGTCATGATCCAAGGGTCCTGGGACCGAGCCCCACATCGGGCTCCCAGCTCAGCGGGGAGCCTGCTTCTCCCTCTCCCTCTGCTCCCTGCTCCTGCTCTCTTGCTCACTCTCTATCTCAAATAAATAAAATCTTAAAAAAAAAACCCATTATGTCCTCTAGGTTCATCCATGTTGTCAACAAATGTCAGGATTACCTTCTTTTTTAAGTTTGAGTAATATTTCATTGTATATTCCATGTTTTATTTATCCATTCATCTGTAGAAGAACATTTAGGTTATTTCCATATCTTGGCAATTGTGAATAATGCTGCAATTAATGTGGGAGTGCAGTTATGTCTTCAAGATACTGATTTCATTTATTTTGGGTATATACCAAATAGTTGGTATATGCCCAGTATTTGGGATCCAATTGTTGGATCATATAGTAGTTTTCTTTAATTTTTTGAGGTACCCTCCTATTGTTTGCTATAGTTGCTCTACCAATTTACATTCCCACCAGTGGTGTACCAGTGTGCCATTTTCTCCACATCCTTGCCAACATTACTATTTTTTTAAATGACAGCCATCCTAACAGGTATGAGGTGGTATCTCAGTGTGGTTTTACTTTGCATTTCTACAGCATGGCAGTTTTCATGCTATACATCAAAAGGTATTAGAAATGATGGTAAAGTGAGAATTATGAATCCTCTTGATTATTCTTTGCTTTGAGCATAAATATCAGCCACTTTTTTTTTTTTTTTTTTGTATTTACTCATCGTTGGTTTGGATCTTTTTGATGTAATGGACAGAACTTTGTGAATTTATTACTCATTGTTATTATTTCTTTTTTTTTCTTTAAGATTATTTATTTATTTATTTGACAGAGAAAGACACAGCGAGAGAGGGAACACAAACGGGGAGTGGGAGAGGGAGAAGCAGACTCCCTGCCGAGCAGGGAGCCCGATGCGGGACTCGATCCCGGGACTCCAGGATCATGACCTGAGCCGAAGGCAGTCGCTTAACCAACTGAGCCACCCAGGCGCCCTCATTGTTATTATTTCTAAACTGTTAACTTTTTTGCCTGAATTTAACAGTTATAAAATAATGAGTAAATATTGCTCCTAAAACTGGGATATATTCCACTACCCAGTGTGGAATAACATTTGGTCTCCAAAATAGAAAATCAAGGACTAATTTAGCAAAATGTCATTAGTTCATACATAATTATTCTTATTTTGAAACTCACACAAGTCATTGTATTAGCTTCCTAAACCTGTCATCACAAGTACCACACACTGGGTGAATTAAAACAACAGAAACATATTGTCTCACTGTTCTGGAGGCTAGAAATTTGAAGTCAAGTTTTCAGTAGGACCAAGTTCTCTCTGAAACCAATAAGAGAGAATCCTTCCTTTCCTCTTGTGGCTTCTAGTGCTTACCAGCAATCCTTGGTATTCCTTGACTCAGAGGTGCTTGGTATTCCTTGACTCTCCAGTCTCCACCTCCATTACCATATGCTCATCTTCTCATGTGTCTTCACATTATCTTCTTATAACGACACCAGTCATAAGGGATTAAGGGCCATCCTACTCCAGTATGATCGCATCTTAACTAATTACATCTGCAGTGACCCTCTTTCTATATTCTGAGGTATTGGGAGTTAGAACTTAAATACATCTTTTTTAGGTATACAGTTCAACCCATGATAGTCATCAAGTTTATAAAATTATCATTGAACAAGTTTATGAATAAGTTTACTCCATTTTTCCTTCCAGGTATGTCACTCAGATCATTCCTTTAGTTAATCCAACACACGAGACCTTAGAATTGCAAGCAACAAACAGTAATCCTGAAAATTTTGTCTTGGATGTTAACAGATCATCAGTAAGTATATTTGGAAAGCCAAATAACCTACCACTACTAGAGCATTTTTCAGTACTGATTTTGGGACACCATGGAGTATTATCATTTGATTTATTAATTAACAAGGTCTCAATTGCTTAAAATTTAAAAATAGAATTTATATACATATATATCTCCCCCCCAATTTTAATTGATCAAAGAAACCAATATCGTGTCCGTCTAAATTTTTAAAATTCTATATGCTAGCATCATACTCATTATCACTGGACTCTAAATGAACTGGTTGTGCTTTATTTCAGACCATTTTAGTAATCAGATTTGGAAATCATTCCCCAGTAGTATGATATTGACTCAGCAATCTTTCTATGTTTCCAGGGTTCCAAGAGGCTAGTTCCTTCCAGCACTTGATGAATTCCTGCCCATCACCTGTCCCCCACTTCCAAAAAATGTGAACAGTTCTGACCCTCTCTCCTTTCTCTACCCCATTTACTCATTCCTTGGTCCCTAGCATAGACTAGAACGAGTCAATGGGCCCCAGTCACTTTTCTCCTCCCATAAGTAACAAAACAAGATCTGAAGGTTTAGCATCAATCTTTGTTTCCAAGCATATGATACCAAATATGTACAGTGAATACCAAAACCATGTTTTCAGGTAAACTTCAAAATGGTAATTGTGATAGATTATTTTCTTCAGAGCATCTCACAGTAAATCATGAAGCCCTGTTAAGTAGATATAGTATTTAAATAAAGGCTTTTACTATTTGCTGTTTAATGATTGTTTAAGAAATCTACAGTGTGATTTCATGTGTATCTTACTACCTATCTCTTGTCAATGACTGGTTGCCAATTAATAATAACATGATATGAAATTAGTTCTTAACTTCCATAATGTGTCAAATTAGATATCACTAAGTATTATATTGCTAACACCAGTTTCTAATGAGGAATTTCAGTTATTTGTAAACTATATCCTGATCACCATATTCTGTTTAATTTATGGAAAATACAGTGTTAAGTAATACAAGCATGTGTGTACATTTTAGTATAGTTATTCTAAGATTAAACTATATACACAATTGTGTGTATAGCATTGTGTATATAGTTTAATCTTAGTGCTTAATAATAATGCTCTGCATTATTATTATATATGCTTGTGCATATATAAGCACAAACTTATACTTTCTACCTTGGTTCTTATGTTAATGATTTGCTACATTTGTCTTCTCTTACATTTCTTACTGTTCAGTCTGAAGGTAAGTTGTAGGCATCATGCTATTTCAACACTAAATACTTCAGATTATATTTCTTTTTTTTTTCAGATTATATTTCTTAATGGCATTATTAATCTCCCACATCATCTAGTATCCTGTTCAAATTTAAGTTTACTCAGCTGTCCTGCTAATCTTTCTCTCTTCAACTAAGATCCAGTGTAAACTCACATATTGGAATTGGTTATTATGATGACACTTCCTTGGAATTAAGTGTTTGCAAATTTCCAAAAGGTCCTATATTTAACAGATTATCTATATTCCATTATACTAAACCAGTACATTTGCTGCAGATAAATTCCAACCAATAGTGTTTATCTTCCTTTTCCTTGAAACCATGGGATTCATGGAATTCATGAATTTTAGGTGAAAATAAAGGAATTTCATTGAGTTCCTGGTTGGCTATATACACTATCTCAATCTGTGCCACATGCTTCTGACATATATTTAGGGAAGAGGAATTTGAGGCCAGAGAAGCTAAAATACTTAAACTTCCTGGCTAGTAAGTGGTAGAACTAGAATTAAAATCCAAGTTAATGTACTGGTATATGGTTTTTCTAATGAAATAGATGATTTCCTTATATCTATCGATCTATCTAGAGAACTTTTTGCTAAATTGAAAGAATACATGAAATACAACTTTTCTTATTTTTTTTGCTAAGGCTGATATTGAAATTAATTTATACTCATTATGTATGCATAAACTTAAGTGATTAACTATCAAAGGGAGAGCCAGCCTGAGATAAAAATATTTGCTATAGATAAACCACACATATATAGATAGTAAGGAGGTGACTGTTCTAAATATAACAATGAATTGTATTTGTATTTCATGGTCATTATCAGAGCATTATTATTAAGCACTAAGTGCTACATTCTACAGGGATTTGAATGACACTGCTATATTGCAGTTTTATATTTTCAAAAGTTATCTGGCAAAATACAGTAGTGAAAAAAATAAACTTACTTTTCAGACATACGCCTTTTCATTTTATCATTCTGTAAGTGTTAATGTTAAATATATTATTCACAGTATAGCATTTTGATGTAGTTGCTGGCTTCTTTCACAATCTCTAAAGAGGTAACTCATTCTAATACTGTTCAGACTCAAGTTATTCTAACAGGCCATACCTTGAGTGATAGGGCAAAAAGGAACACTTCATTGTATACTAAAGAAGCCTTCCTTACATCTATGCTTACTATCAGTTTATCTCTTCGGACATCGCCAAGGTACAAGTTAGGTTCCCAGTGGTTTCACAAGTATCTTGGGATGATCAATAAGCTATCGGTTCTTAAAAAAATGTATATTTCTATTATTTGGGGTTCTTAGTTGGCTTTAAAAATTAATCCTGATTTCCTTTTATAAAGCAAGTAACTCCATGTGGTCATTGTCTGGGGGGAGAACATGGGATAAACACTACTGAACACTGTTTACCATGGCCATTATACCAATATTCACCAAGCAGGCATACTAAGAATGGGTAACACGTACAAGACAACATACTAATTACACGAAAATCAACCTGGCATGTACCTAGCACACAAAGATCCTGACTCAAACAAAGCATTGATTTTTTTTTTTTCTCTCTCTGAATTTACACAGCTGACCATACCTCCTCACTCCATCAAAGAAGTATCTGTTCACTTTTATCCTTCGGCTCTTGGAAGAACTGGTCATCAAGTTTCTATCACCTTCCACTGTACTCAGGTATGATAGATTATTCTTGGACCAAGTCAAGTTCATTAAATTTCAAAATCATAAGTAAGTAAATCTAATTCATTCACTTGACATATTTCGTAAGCAAAACAAGTTCATTGTAAATGATTAATTAAATGAACTTTTGGAAATACGGTCTACATTGTACCTGTGGAGGCATCTAAAGAAGGCATTTTTAAATCCTTAGATTACTTGAATGAAGGAGAATGTACAACCAGATTTAAAATATAGGTATTTTAATGGAATGCCATTTTACTGGCATTTATGTTTATTTTCTGACTTGTTTACTCATATTTTCATGAACTTAAAGATGAAACTGTAGAAAATGTGATCTTGCAAATACTGTATTATTTTTTCATTCTATTTCATCTGCACAGTGTTACTGATTAATAATAATTTTTTAAAAGCAACAATGGTTAAGGGGCGCCTGGGTGAGTTAGTCAGTTAAACATCCAACTCTTGGTTTCGGCTCAGGTCATGATCTCAGGGTCATGAGATGAAGCCCCACGTTGGACTCTGCTCAGCACAGAGTCTGCTTGAGATTATCCCCTCTGCCCTTCATCCCATTCGCACTCTCTCTCTCTCAAGTAAATAAAATCTTTAAAAAAATAAAACAACAGTAATTAATAATTTTTTAAGCATCTCTAAACTTGCTACATGCCATTCTAAGAATTATATCAACTCATTCTCACCCAGTCCTGTGGTCGAAGTAATCAATCTCATTTTATGGATCAGGAAACAGACACAAAGAAATTAAGTTCAGGCAGCTAGTAAGAGGTTTAATTCAGACCCGAACACAGGGCATGTGACTTCAACCTGTCTTCTTGACTGTTTTTGCAGCTACCTACCAATTGCTAAGTGATTATAACTCTCTTACTGCCAATGAAAATTTTACATACCTTTTGACAATTATTATTTTTTATTTCTTCAAGTGTTAATGAGGAGGAATGTAAATGGAGATATGTGCTTTAAATCCTACAGGACACCAAGGAGGTTACAAAACCCTGCCACCTGAGAGGCAATGGAATCAAATATAATATAGGGGACCCCATGTCAGTGCAAGACCAGTGGGTAACTAGAGTATCCTATTTTCCAAGAAAATGTGTAATATACCTTCAGAAGAAAAAATTTGAGACTATTAAATTTCTTACATGATGACTGACTTTTAAGTAAACTGAAGCAATGCTCTGGAAGTATGCTTGATTCTCAGTAATATTAAAGAATAAAAAACAATAATCCTTTTCATACAGAAGAGAGAAAGTGTAGTACAGATTATTTCCTTCTACATAAATAATTTTAACAAGGCAGATCTTTTTTTTTAAGATTTATTTATTTACTTTAGAGAGAGAGTGCACAAGCAGGGGGGAAGCAAAGAGAGAGGGAGAGATCTCAAGCAGACTCCCCACTGAGTGTGGAGCCCATTGTGGGGCTCCACACGGGGCTTGATCTCACAGACCTGAGATCATGACCTGAGCTGAAATCAGGAGTTGGAGGCTTAACTGACTGAGCCACTCAGGCACCCCTGGAATTGGATCTTTAAAGATCGTGCTGTGTCTTCTTTCAAAAAAGTTTGAGGTAAAGATGGGTGGACAATATTACTTTTTTTTTTTTTTTATTGCACGTTTGTTTGGATACTTTTTAATTTCCCTCTCTGAACCCAAGGGGATAAGTTAAGCAATGCCAGGGCAATTGTCGGATACTAGTGTTCAATAATGGTGGGTTGTGGTCTAATTTAGCAGCTCTAATATTCCAGGCCACTTGGTGAAACGTGAAAACATGGCCTTGTTTTTGTAGTTTGGCTCATTCCCAGTGGTTTAAAGTAACTTCATTTCTGTCATCCAGGATTGATTTTTATTAGGTAGCCAAAAAAGTAAGTAATTTATGTAAAAAAGTTGTTAATATAATTGAACCCTGATGCTTGATTCTAGTCATTCAATTGTGTGGAGTCAGGTTAGGACATTGTAAATGAAAATATACTGCGCTTGTATTCTGCTAGTAGAATCTCTAACTAAAAGTAGTGCAGGCATTTGAAGATATATGCTGATAAAACTTACCTTTAATCCTTCCTATGCAGAGATAGCATTTTATGGATTTACTGTCACCACCTGTCCTAGTTTTGAAACAATCTTACAAGTTTTCCTCTTTTATTGGAGGCTTGGACACACCTATGTAGTTTAAGAGATTATAAACTAGGTTATTGTTTGTTGTTTTTCATTTTGTGACCTCTTTATTCATCTGGAACATTAGCAAACTGTTCAGTGCAGAACTGAGTCACAGTCTCTTGTACTCTCGGGACTTTTATTCTAAATGAACACAAAGGGAACATTTTCAAACAGTGCTTTGCAGGTTTATGAAACCCAGATAAGAACGATGGCTGCATGCAATCTCCTTCATGTAATTTTTGAGCCATTCTTCCCTATCATGTCATAACAGAACATACACTGTACTAGGCAGTAGAGATAAATAATATGGCATGCAGTTGTGCACACGTCCTTTTAATGGGACTTCAATCTGTGCCTCACCATCTTAGCCTTCATGTGATAACTATCTGAATTTCATTTGAAATTCACTCTAGGATTTTGGAAACTTCCTGTAGTGTTTAGGATCCAGTTTGCTAGATAAATTGATTTTTTTAAAAACCTTGAGCAGAAATACAAGGTTTTCATTAAGATTTCTCTTTTATGTTGCTATAAATAACCTTTTATGCATAGAAAGATGTTTAATATTTGAGTATTGGTCTTTTGTCCTTTTTTTTAGTGCAGAAATATATTGAATATTCAATAAAATCAAAAGGAATTTGGAAAAGAAGAAATACATAATGATACATATTAAATATTAACAACAAAATGGGTTTTTTTTTAATAAAGATGCATTTATTTTAGAGAGAGCACAAGCAGGGGGGAGGGGAAAAGGGAGAGAGAGAGAGAAGCAAACTCCCCACTGAGCAGAGCCCAACATGGGGCTCGATCTCAAGACCCTGAGATCACAACCTGAGCCAAGATCAAGAGTCAACCGACTGAGCCACCCAGGCACCCTGAAATGTTTCTTATCTACCAAGATTTTTATGCATATTACATTTATTAAGTGTTGCAAATAAAATGTATGCGATTAGGATATGTATGTCATGAATGTTTATCTTTAAACAGTTTAAAGAATGGATATTCTACCTCTCTGGAGTAGGACTGTTCCCCCAGCCTATAGACATAGAAAGAATAACCACATACCTCCGTCTTCATTCATCTATTGTTATACCTTTCCAAAATCCCACCAAGGAAGATGTTTTGGTCAATATTGTACTAACAAGTAAGTTTTTTTTTTGTATTTTACATATGTTATTTTGTAATTATTAGTCAAACTTATTTTATCACAGAATCAAACCATATTAGAGATAATGGACAATTTAGAGATCCGTTAGTTGTTTCAACAGCATTATTTTATAAAGGAGAAAACAAGGTATGAGAGATGAAATATCTTGGCTGAAATCACTTATAAACTTATAAATGGTGGAGCCAGAATCAGAAATTAGAAATCCATGTACCAAGTCAAGTTCTTCCAATTTTATCTGTAAAGCCAAATATGTAAAGTAATAGATTTGTAAGATTCTTATGACATGACTCAAATATGCCAATGCTTATTCCTTAAAAGTTTTTAGAAATTCTAGTGTTCTGGTTTTGTTTCATTTCCCTCTTTTCTTTTTTTTTAATTTTAATTCTCATATAGTTAACATACAGTGTTATATTAGTTTCAGATGTACAATATAGCGATTTAATAATTTCATACAACACCCAGTATCATCATCATATAAACATAGGGTTGCCATGTACCCCTTTGAATTAGTGTTTTTGTATTTTTGTGGTAAATACCCAGTCGTGTGATTACCGGATAGTAGGGTACTTCTAATTTTAACTTTTTTGATTAACTTTCATATTATTTTCCACAGTGGATGCACCCTCTTTTCTTTATAAATAGCATATTTGGATTAAATTTTGGTTCTAACAAAACTTGGGTTTTTTTTCATGTCATATTGAAGATACATGTTTTTAAATTAGATCATGTGAAGTTTCTGATCACTTTTTATTAAAAGACCAAATAATGGAGGTCTGAAAATCAACTCATTATGAGTTTTCTGAAACACATTTTAAATCTAACATTAGACATTACTAATTTTATCTTTTCAAATATTATTACTACGTCTACTAAAACTACTACTACTACCACAAATCATTGTAGATAGCTCAATTGTTGGGCCAAAAGAAATGTATACATGTTAAGGTTTTTGATATAAATAACCAACTTGCTCTCCAGGATGGTTATACTGCTACAATTCGTGCTGCTATCAGGAGTATATTACAGACATTACCTCTTTTCCTGAACCTTGTAAACCCTGACCAGTAGCATTCTCCTTAATCTCCATCAATCTGATTGAGGCAAAATTGTATTTCATCATGATTGCCAATGACTGTTTTTTTGATTAATGCTGAAGCTGACCACTATCATTGACCTGTTGAAGTTTTCATCTTTCCTGATCATCTGCTCCTGCTCTTGGTATGAAATAATTAAGTAAAAATTAAGAACATAATGTCATCTAATGTATAATTCCCTTGCAAAGACTTTGGCTGTGATGAGGAGAGACATGCCAGTATTAACTAAAAGTTGATTGTAGACTCAAGGAAGTCGGCATTTTAATATGGAAGAGATATGAGCATATGTATAGGCAGAAAGAAGCCAGGGTTGAGCAGAAGTTAAAGCTGTAAAGGAGGTGGGGCTTAACTGATTGGTAAGGCTCTGGGAGGACTAAGATCAGACTTGAAGTAGAAGGAGAAGCCCTGAACAGGAAGGGCATTTCTCCCTTAGGTCTCAGAGGGACTTGGGAATTAAGTGCAGTTGTGCTTATATTTTTATCTGCTGAGAAAAGGAGATAGAGTAAGAGATTTGAAGAGTGGCCCATTGGTTTGAAATAATTGCTGGAGGGAATGGAGGAGGGAGCTGACAAAATTAAAATATGAAAGGTATTGTATTTGGCTGGGATTGGAAACCACAAATTTATATAGACACCAAGAAAATACGTGTTTGTGAAGTTTGTACCACTTCTAGGGCTCAGAATTCCAGGTACGGGAACAATACGCAAGGCTGATAAATGGATCTGTCCAAGGAATGGAATTTTCAAGGCAATTGCAGCCAAATCACTTCATAACTATGAGAATGTTATAAAAAGCTATTGGGTCAAGATTGTTAACATTAGAAATAAATTATGAAGTAATTTGTGGCTTCTTAATTTTATTTAATTGGTCTAAAATGCTTTTGCTATATAACAAAAAAAAACAGGAAGCTTGACAATGAAAGATTGATTAGTCTTTCGTATTTTAAAACAGTCTCTTCTAAGTAAACTCCCTCTCTCTTGAGTAAATGTTCAGACCCTCAGGTTCTCCTCCTTCCTTCAACCTGAGGAGACCGGGGACAAAAAAAGACAACTTCTGCTATCTTCCTTCCCTTCACTTTCTCCTTTTCCTTTATGAAAATATTTCTCCTTTCCTTTTCTTGGCAATGAAGTCTCTCTCTCTCTCTCTTTCTCTCTCTCTCTCTCTGTCGTAACCTCCTCCCTCTTTCTTTTGTGGGTTCTGTTTTTTCTAGCTACCATGTTCGTGTCTTCTTACATTCATATTCCTTGGCGAGTGGGCCTCATAATTTGGCCTGAATTGTTGAAGGACCACAAGGAAACAGGACTGACAAGGTTAAAAATATTTAACCTGTATGCCACATACACTCATTTAAAAAGGTACTAAATTAATACGTTCTGATTTAAATATTTGCACGTCTTAAAATTACTTCATGATAGGACTGTGCAGTCCCTTGCTATCTTTCAGAAGATGTCAGTGTTTCTGCAGATGCTACAGAATTCACAGAATCCCCTTAGGGAAGTTGATAGCAAGACTTCACAATAAAGCACCAAGCTGGTGTTTGCTGAGAGAGGTCTTACAGTATTTCAGATTCTGCATTCCTGATTTTTCTTTCAATAGGCAGACAGATAGGTAAGATATATAAGATATATAGGAAAAGATGTCTTTCAAAACGCACTATTTTTCCAGGAAGGCAACATTTTTAGAGTTGCAAACTCATTCTCAAACTTTTATATTGCCAATTCTCTAAAGTCTTTTCTTCTGCTGGTATTTTAGCTATTTCCATTTTAATCACTTACCTCAGAAATATTGCCCTTTGACATTCAAGAATCTTTTAATTCCATTTAATTAAATTCTATTTAATTCTTTAATTCTACTGTATGTTGTCTCTAAGTTCTTTCAGTTGAACATTACACAAGGCAAGGTGATGAAAAGGTTATATTTCAGGGTTCTATTCATATCTTAATCCATGCCACTTTTAAATGATGAATGAGGTTGGGTGACTAAAGAGGAGATGGCCTAAACACTCAGAGAATAGTAGAGACTTCTCCAAAGGAGACCATTAATGAGTCCCATGAGGAGCAGGATGCTACACAAAAGCTTCAAATAGCCTAGGAAACTCGTATTTGTTATACACTTACTTGGTACCACATTTGAGCTCTGTCAATTTGACTATACTCAATCTTAAAAAAAAAAAACCAAAAAAAAACTCTGAGAAGCTTCTCAGATGTGGAATCTGAGGCTTAGAAATCTCCCAAAGCCATACAGTGAGTAAGTGATTGAACAGTGTCTTGAACTCATCCCATCTAACTTGTCTTCTCCAGGACCACCTAACTGACATTCTAAGTAGTCTGCTTACAGATGGTGCTTACAAATCCTTATGCTGATGAGGCTCTAAAGAATGGTACTTGCCCCTCTTCTTGCTTCCTCCCCTAAGATCTCAGGAAAAGAAGCCTCCCTCCATCCAATCAAAGGACCTCAGGAAATCCTCTGACTGCCACTCCTTTCGCATTTTCTCAGCTCTTCAGGTCTCTCCTTTCTCTTTTTGACTCTGCCCAGACCCTGGCTCTGCCTCATCAGCATATGCTTGGCTTTTCTGTCTTGGCCTCCTTGTTCAGCCTGGACATGTACCCTTGCTCGGTGACTGCTATCAATGAACTCAGTTCCCACAATCCTCTCTGATCAGTAATTATGCCCTCCACCCCAATCCCTGCTCTCAGATTTCTACCCTACTTAGCCAGAAATAAAGGTGGAAAAAGGAAAGGTAGCCATGAATGGGTCTGGGTCAAAACGTTAGAAATTCGGGCCTGATGAATTTAGGAACTTAAGGACACATTTCCATTATAGGTATGTGTGTGCTCCCTAATGGCAGGGGTTACATTAACTCATAGCTTTATTCTTAACTAAATGAGTATTTCAAAGTTGGCATATTTGTTGAGAGAGCAAGAATTGAATCTTCAGTCACTGATTATGTGTATTGAGCATCTATTTTATGATGAAAACTGTCATACACACATTTGAAAATGACTATATCTGCAATATACATACACACATACATGTATACATTATATTTTGATCTTGTGTGATATTCTCTTTGTGAAATATCACTATGGGTTATATACCTAAAAGTTATATAAATGAATGAAGCAGTAACTGATATATGTAAAGTAGCAATTTTCATTTCTTTTCTACTGAAATAGCTATAGTCTTGAGATTATTCACTCTTTCTACTGAATTCAAATTTAAATGTGGTATTAGTGATTTGATTCAAATGTTTACGTGTAAGTAGATTCTTTTCCAGACATCAATAGTTGTATTGAAGAGCAAAACAAAATAACATAGGGATAAAGGTGTACTTACCAATTATCATATTAGTTTTACAAATTTCAACTTCCATTTTGAGGGTTGATTGATGTAAACAAAACACTGTGTTGACAACACCACACAAAATATCCCCATGGTTCTGTGCCTTTCCAGTTGTAGGTGGAGCAGGAAAATAAAAAGTTCTGTCTAAAATTTATTTTACTAAATATAACCAAGAAACAGACTCTTAACTATGGTTGATGGTTATCCAACGGGAGGTGGGTGGGGGATGGGATAAATAGAGGGGGGCATTTGTGATGAGCACTGGGTGTTTTATGGAAGTATTGAATCCCTGTGTTGTACACCTGAAACTAATATTACACTGTATGTTAACTGGAATTTAAATAAAAACTTTTGAAATTAAAACAACAACAACAACAACAACACTGTGTTGAGTTGTTGTTGACTCAGGGTTAATTATGACTATAGTGTTCACCAGCAGTAAAGTAATAAAGTACACACTGTAGCATAGTTATGACATGTTAATGATACTTACAGGACAGGGAGAGGCAATGTCTAGTGCATTTGATTTGACATGTTAGA